GATGGATGCAGCAGGTAGCACGAAGACCTTAGTGATCGAAATAGCTTTTGTATAATAGGAGCTACTCTGTAAGCTTATCCCTCAGAGAGAATTATCGAAAGAGAGGGAGAGATAAAATATCAATAAATGTACTGTGACGCAGTTAACAGTTTAGAAAACTCATTAACAATAAATTTGCTAGTATTATGTTGATTTACTAAATTTATTGTTGTGAAATTATTAATTAGTTTCGAAATTTATGTCTTGCACATGATTCCAATAATAAATATTTTATTTGCTGATGATATTATTTTCAACGAAATGCAAAACAAAGTAACGATCAAACTACAGCAACTTGCATTAAACTGAAAGTGCAAAAATGAAATGAGCACATTATAAGGGTTTCTATATTAAGAGTTATTCCAGTGGTGAGTGAGAAATTGAAACAATTGCAATTTATTTATTACTGTACTATCAAGATTAGCTTAATAGATTTCATTGAAGCTATTGGATCTGTCTTGGTAGTCTTCTTACCAATCAGCATTAGCTTCAATAAAGATATTGAAATGATTTCATTGATCCCTCTCAGTCTGCTGGAAGACTAATCTCGAAAAGTTGTCTCAATTGACTATTGCACACCAGAGTTTCACCAGACTTTTTGATTAACCTTTGTTCACAATTTATTGAGATGGCCATGTAAATCGAATAAATTTGCTTCTGATTTTCTTTTTTCAATAACTTGATATTTTAACCTATATGAATTTACCATCAATTTCTTGCAAATATTTAAACTGCTCGATAACTTATCCATTTAGAAATAATCAGGTCATGGATGTAGGAATAACTAAAAATGAATCCATATCAGCAGATAATAAATTGCATAAGAATGAATTCATTAGATCTTTTCATAATTTGAAAGGTATGAAATGGGTTCAGAGGAATTGATGAAAGCAATTGAGAGTTGCGCATCAAGCAACACAATCTTTTATCCGGCACTGTTGGGACACATATGTGCGGTGCGTACTGTCAGATAAGCAAGTAGAAGTGTGGTGTAGCATGCGGTAGGGGATAGCAAGGAGGGAAGAGGGGTTGACATTGCCACTACGGACACTACAAAGGCTCCAATTTTCAGGGACGACAGTGAACAAGGGGACAAGGTGAACCGAACCGTTGCTGCTACTTTTGCCAAGATAGCTATGCTTACTTAACAGCAAGATTAACATAGCTACCTTACTGTAACCAATCAGTGCATGTAAAGCCATTTCAAAAGCGAAATGCTGTCCTCATTGCAGTTTGATTAAATTATATTTCTCTTCCCTCTCTCCTAACCCTCATTACTACGGGTTGAAATGGGCTTGCCTGAAAACTTAATAATGATTAAAATTGTCTTTGATAGAAAATGAAAGTAACAACTTAGTCATGAACATTTCGAAATATACTTGAACAGAGCAGAAAAGCAGAATAGTGCAGTAAAAAGAAGTAATGTGGGAAGTAATGAAATGAAAATATATCATCGATTAAAAGTGAACAACGTGATGGGCCATCCTGGAAGTAAGTTGAATTGTTATTTCGGAAACAACTTTTAGTAATCCATATGTTCCGTGTTAATGTAACTTAGAGACTGTGCTTGGGAACTGTTAATTGAATCAAACATTTCAGTTACTTATAAAATATGACAGGTACTACAAAAATTCATTGATTATATAATAAAATAAAATATTGAATACTTAGAACATCAAAGAAAAGTTGCAAATGTTAGTATAGTGTCAAACATGCTTATAGATGTGATCATCTTCTTCACTATCATCTTCTAAACGAGTCCTAAAACGTAGAAGCAAGACTTTCCTATCAATTATCCAGACATTCAAGGATTATAATACCACTACAAGTGATTGATTCCTAAAAGGAACTGTAAACGATTTATAAGATCGTAGAGCATTCACGATGGTGGTCATATGAAGTGACATTCAGTTTCTCTTCCCGGTTGCTCGGTATGCAAATGCTCATGAAACAACATTTAGCACAAATGATCTCCTAGTTGCTCATCACTAACCCATCTCGTCTAGTATTCCATTGTTATTTCTATTATTTCGTGCCATTATACTCAGTAATTTTCTTTTTAATTAAATTTTCCACACCTAATCAGCACTAAAATAATAGAAGTCTTCCATACCGTAACGAACAGGAACATCGTCGAAGTGGTGACATTGTTGAAAAGCAGGAATGAAAGAGATTGGTCAGAGATTTCTTGCTTCAAAAAAAGTTTCCAGCCAGATTTTTTGAAAGATTAAATTTTATTGTAGCATCGGCATTTAAATTTAAGCGAATCTTGAAGGATTGTTAAAATAAATTTTATATTCCAATTTTATTAAGTTTTAATTTGAGTGTTTAGTTTAAATCTGTTCTCAATGCAATTTTTGAGAATTCCAATTATTTGATCAAAAAACCTAATATTATATAGGGATAACTTGTAGATCATTATGCGTAGTGATCTGAAATACAACTTCAAGTTTTATCAATTTCATCTGAAATAAATCTTCATTGTTATTAGATTAAAATTAGATTAAAAGTAAAACTTGAAAAAATGACGTAGGTTTCATTTGGTGCAGCATTTATCAATGTTTTCTGTTTCAGAGCTTAGTTGAAATGCATTCTCTATGTGCTTTAGTTTCTAATTGAAAACTTTTCAACTTGAGCGGCACTTTTCTTCCAGATCCCACATTTCAAAAATGATGATTGAAAAGTTTTAAAACTGCTGATTAACTCAGCTCCTTTTACAAGAGTGGTAGATGGTATTTAAAGAAGGAGTAAAGTGACGAATAATTATAATTACTATCACAATCGAAGAAACAAAGATCTGAAGAGTTGACGCATCATGGAAAGTAGCGAATAGAGGACGTACAATTGGCTCATTACTAACTGTTGCTGGTGATGGTAATGGCATGCTTGATAATACATGGTAATAGTACAATGACAAGGAATAGTTAACTGCGTGACAAGCTGACATCAATGAGGCCGTAGCATCCTAAATGAGACACTTATCGGTACGCTACCCTATTCCCCTAACTCCTCTCACCCGGCATCTGCACCGGCACATCGAGACCATCACCAATGGATAACAAGGACATACAGGCTAAAGGTGGTGAATTGTGATAACAGTCAATACAACCACATAAAGAAAAAGAGAGATAGAGATGCAGGAAGACACATTTTCAATTTTAGAGGTTTTTGGTAACAGGAACTGAAAATAGCAAATGGAGCAGGAAGTGTTAGAAGCTAAAGGGATAGCTAAAAATACTCAGATGTAGAGAGAGGCAATAGCTAGGTTAAAGAAAATCTGTCACGAGGATGATGGGATGTGACAAAGGGCAGTAATGTCACTATGAGCAAAGAGCTGTGCTTCTCATTCCCTTCACGTGCTAATTCCTTCTGGCTTAGATTGCAAATCACTACGCATTACCGGCTTACGGTAAGGTAAACATCGCATTAGAAGCTTGCATAGGAAAAGCTACAGTACCCGTTCTTCAATTTACTTGTTCTCTCTTAATTCTGATACTGGCCCGAATTATACTTATCTCCTTTGTTGACAGTAATTGGGTTGCAAAAGGATGTGATGCAAGGATATGATTGCAGTGGTAGCATAATGTATGCTAAAATGTATTTAAGACCATGAATCAAAAAAAAGCACAGGGAGCATGTGTTGACCGTAAAACTGCATCACTCACTTTGTTCCTTTTCTGTACTTCCACTCTCAACACTATATACTAAATCTGAATGTTAAATTTCAACTTTTCAGTGCAATCTGTATAATTCTGCTGCTTTCAAAAATTTTAAACATCTTTGTTTACAGCATTTGTCGGCTATAGACATTTGTTATGTGTGCCGTATTTTCCATTTGCTGAGCAGAGATGATATTATATGATATGTATCAGCTAGTATATTACTATTTTAGCACTATTCTATACCAATTTTCTAAATTTGTGGTAGTGTTTTTGCAAACATACAAAGTCGTTCTTGGACTTGGAAAATTTTCCATCCACTTCACCGATTTTAAGTAATTTCTTTCGTTATCAGATCCAAAAAATTAAGAAAAGTAGATCAAGTACTTTGGAAGGATAGAAGAAGGGATGGAAAGCAGGTGGAATTGGTAAAAGAAAATGTGTTACTGGAAGAGGAGCAGGAGGAGCAGAAGGAAGGAGCAGCATCAGCATGGATGTGTAATGAAATTTTGGCGTCGTTTTATAAAAGTGGGTTAGATTTAGCATGAGATATAGTGGCAGACCGATTTGTGGCACCATTAAAATTTGCTTTTGAAGTGGGCTATGCGTGTACATGTATTTCTACACATATGTCTATATAATGTGTGTGTGTGTTTATATATATATATATATATATGCATAGGTCAACATTCATAACTACACGATATGACATATTACTTGGCTTCAATTTCAAATCCATGCCTTCATAAACTCACATTTGGATTAAAACTCTCACTGTTTTTTGCCAATTTATTCTCTTCTTGAGTTTGTTTGGTTTGTATTAAAGTATGGTAAAACCTGTCGATAAATGAAAGCTATTCTAAAGATATGTCGAGGTTATTTTGGGAACCTGCTTAATTGAAAAAGCACTAACACTTCGAATAGTCAAATATTTTGAATTTTTTATATTTTTAATATACAACGCGACTTATGGTCTAAAAAGGAGGATAAAAATCAAATAATTCCAAGTCATATTTAAACTTTTAGCTGTAGCTGACATGACTTATCAGGAACACAAGACGTTCTAAAAGATAATATGCAGCATAGTGACAATACAAACAAGGTCATATGATGAGATCGGAAAATCGGGGAAGTATTAGGGCGTAGAAATGTGAAAGATTTTCAGCAGCAATAGAAGCAGCAATAGCAAAGGTTACAACAGCATCACAGCGATATTACGATAACGCTGTAACTTGAAGGTCATTCGAGAATGTATATTCACTACATTAAGTATCTGAATGTATTTTTGGAGCGCATTATATTTAGCTACTGCTGTACAATCAATGGACATTTCTAGGAGATGACCCCCCTAAATGAAAGTTTGATATTAGTAGCATAGCATTGCCAATGACTAAAAAAATTGAAAATAGACTAAATTTTAAACGCATATATGATTGGTTACTAAATCAAAAACGATGCTAATATAAGTAAGTACATATTGAGAAGAAACTACTAAAAGACGAAGCAACTATTAGATATGAAGAGTACGGTAGGGAGAATATTGTAACACAAGGCAGCTTATAGGAAAGAATAATAGATTGAGCTGATAGCATTGAAATATAAGCTATGATGTTTAGAAATATGGAGGAAAAGGAGAAGGAGCAAAAGAAGGAATATTAAGTAACGGCAGGTCAGTGACCATGTCGAGGCGAGCAGCATCAGCAGTCTGATGACAGCCGGTGCTAGGGAAAAGGCACACCTCCATTCCGCCACATCAGTCAATATGCTACTTCCTTAGTGCATACGTCACAGCAATAACTGAGCTACCTGGTGCAACTCAGAGCAGTGTTGGAATTATAACGACATCAGCATGTAAAAAGTCTGAGAAGTCCCTATGGCATTAAAATATTTCAAGACAAGAGAATGCGGTTAATGTCACAGCATCAGGAATTGTCAGGATGACCCACTAAAAAACGGAGAAATAAAGGCCCTATAGCTATGGTGAAATGCTGGTTGACTTTTTGGTTGGAGCATTACAGCAAGTGTCGACGACCTACAAGCTGACCTTAAACAGCCACTGAAATATTTCCGCTACTCTTCCTTTCCTACTTCTTACTTGCCACTTTACAAAAGACGGCAGCAACGGCAGCAGCAGCAGCAGCGGTAGCAGCAGTACTGGTGGTAACAGCAGCAACAACACCCGAAAATTTCTTTAAAATGTATGTATGTATGCAGTGATCCACTCTATAAATCGAATCCTCCTCCAAAATACCATCGCTCCGGGCATTAACTGATCCTTCCATCCACAACAGCCTACATCCCATCTCCTTTCCTTCTGGAGTGACAGCCATCACCGAGGTCACAACATCTGTACAAACTTATTGCGCATCTCATAATAACACTGCAAAAGTATAATTTCATTGATAAGCATCTCTTAATATTCAAAACTCTGGAACAATAAATTTCCTTTTTGGAAAAAGTCGTATTTATAAATAAATAAGTTATTAAAAAATAATTTTGAGTAAAGGAATCGTCAATTTATTCAGCAACTAGTTTCTGTAGTTTTGATGTTGCTTCTAGCAGAATGTTACAAATTGTTTGAACAGCATCTATTAACTACCAGCTTATCACATAGATATATTTTCACTCTGTATAAGGACTGCAGCTATACTATTATAGTTAATAACATATTCCGTACTTACTCAATGTTTCATTTAGTATTAGCAAATAAATTATCAATGAACTTCTCCAATTTTAAGATGGAAAAAAAGCAAAAAAACAAAAATAAAACATTTTGTGTTGTTTATTATTCTTTAACTGTTAAAGTTTTGGCTCTCGGTCAAAATGATTTTAATGAAATTTTAAGAGAACTTCAGCAACTGTTAATATCAATTTTTGTATCGTTAAATGTCTGCATTTTCAAAATTTGTCCTGTAACTTTTTTTACAACGATTTCGATGATTTCCGATAATATTACCATTTAAATAACAAGACCTAAGTCTGTAAGATAGCTTTGAGACAAGCTTGATCAGTCCACTTGCATTCATTATTCTTTTCACGCAAAGATCCATTTAGTGAGGCTTTCTCTTAATAATGACGCAATATTTCTACTTGAAATTCAATTTAAGATTATTAAATTTAAGAATAGTTATTTTTCAAAACTGGTAATAAATGATCCAACGAAATTTATTCACCCAGCATTTTCTATGAAAGCTATTGTACTCATTGATCGTTCCGATTATTAACAGTGACTACACACTTCCTCAAACCAAACAATTACTTCCTTGAATCCACTTCCTCCCTATAAATTTCGAAACAGCAAAATACCTCTGTGTTTTATTCAAATCTGATATTTGCTTAGAATAAAAAGTTGTTTTTCTAAGGAAAAAGTCCGAGGATCAAAATAAAATTCTGAGGAAATGTTCGATCCAGCGATGTACAGTCTGTTTCCTATAAATCGAGGACATCTTGAAACTTTCTTTATCTTACCAACTGTTGATTGATGATCAACAATTTCCTGTTTTATCAATGAGTGTTACCTTAACATTGCTTCGTTTGAAATTTAAATAATGATAGTAAGGTGGCTGGTAGACAGCGCTATCTCAAATGAATTGCTTTGATGGTGTGCACAGAAGGAGCAGATATGCTGTGCTTTTCGGAGGGGGTCTGGTTGACAGCACCCGCGACAGCATGGCAGCCTAATTTGTTTTCAACAAAGTAAGATGAGCAATGGACGAAGGTGCCGCTCTTGTATTCGCTGGATTCCACAGCCACCGCTGGCAACAATACATAATAAACATGCATTCAATTCCATCGGTGCTATGTTGTGCTACCAACACGTCAGGCATCGCTGTCATTACTGAGATGTGACCAACAAATCTCTTAGATGTCGCGTATGTATGGGCGTTTCTATGTGTCACCATGAATGAGCATGCATTTTGTGACCAGCGGTGATCATCTCTGAATGGAATAGGAAGGACAGGAGAAGAGGGGAAACCGGGGTTTCATGGATCAGTTAGTTAGTTGGAGCTCGGAACCAGGGCAAGCAACCAGCAACACTGCCATTTTCCAAATTGACCTCCGAAATAAAATGAATTGAAATGAGATGCATTTTAATCGTACAAATTCTCATTACAATCTTTTCCCCTTTCTGTTCTTCCAGTGCTGTACCTGAGATAATACTCTCGCAAATTTCTGCTGAAAATACCTTATGTAAATTTGATTAGTAAGATATAGTATATATTATTCATTAGTTTGTCAGGATTTTTGCTGGGAAAAGAGCACAATAGAGCAGGCTCTGATATTTGTCAACTCAAGACGTTTCATTCTTGAAAAAAAAGACACTCTTTTGCAAATTGGTTTGATATCATTTAACTTTTCTAAACTGATTTTCATTCCGCTGAATAATGCCAAGAAAATATGTCAAATAAAAGTGGATAACTCTAAAAAATCACTTGAAAAATTAATTGCATATCAAATGTTAAATGTTATGTTTACTACCTGCAAAAATGGTACTTATTGAAATAACAGTTTTCTTTGAAGAGAAGGTGCAAGTGATAACTTTTGAAACACAGATCAAGAAATGTAAAACAAAAAAAAGATCCTTAATTGTAGTAATTTGGAAAATACAACTTATTGAGAGTTGTCGATAAATTATACAGTTTATTACTGCATTGGAATTTTTTAGCAGCGATATTTAGAAACAACTAACAGGTGTTTCGTATTAATACTAATCTTCCTCTTTTTAAATCAAAATGATGGCATTTGTTTGGTGGCTTATATCATTAGTTAATACTCTAAAATATAACTTTCATTCGAAAGTGTCATAATTTTTATCAGAATTCAAGACTTTTTATTTATTTAGTGATAAGAAAGAAGAGAAGGTGAGGTATTACTGTATGTCATGCAGGGAGTGCAGCCTTAAAAGACCTTACTGCGATCACTTATTAATCATAGTATTTTAACTTCATTCGAAATTTATCATTGATAAATGGACATCCTGAAGTTCAAATAAAAATTAATTTCTCTGTAAAGAAAATTTGATGAATAGCAATGAGAAGTCCTCTAATATCAAATTTGAAAAAGCCATATCAAGATGCATAACTTTTTAATTCCTTCTTTTCATTTATATTTTTGATAGTTCGAAGCATACGATTATCATCTTTCAGATTATTGGGATTATCCGAGTAATTATCTCCAACACTTGTGAAGCCAAATGATTGAAGCTAGATATGCTCTGATATTTGTCCTTAAGATAACTTCCGAAATTTCGATCACTTAATATGAAAACTAATTTTGCTTTAAAGTGGTGCTTTTGTAATGAGATATGACTTCAGAGTCAGTCTCAATCTAAGAGAAATAAACTGTGACTTACATCTGTGTGATAAACCGACTATAAGAAAAATGACTGAAATATAAAAGTTCATGCCATACCGATCTTTCTTACAAATGCTGAAGTCACACAAAACTCCCTTAGAATTGATATCTCAAAAAAAAAAAGAAAAAGAAAAAAGAAATGTCATCAAACTTAAGTCGATAGAAAAAGCGCGAAGATCTCCGCATGAGAAGAAATAGAGTAGGTGAATGGCTTCGAGTTTTTTAATGTTCTACGTGATTTTCTTTCTTTTGTCTTTTTTTTTATTTCTATAAAGTTCTTTACTTCCTTATTTTTACATTCCTTCAAAACTCGACCGATTTTCTAAAAATTTTAATAGCACACTTCTTGCATTTTAATCCTGCTTTCGGATTTTTCACCGGGAAGAGTGAAAAGTCAAACCTGAAAAATGACTTTTGCATTTCTAGTGAAATACCGATTTTTTATTCTCATCAATTGTTGGTGTTACTGATCTTTAAGCGTTTTTTTTTTGCTTTTTTACACATAAATGATGATTAATTTTGAGCCTTTGCTTTATTACTTGTGAAAAGGTGCAGGAAAAGTTGTCGGGTAGAGAAGTGTACAGTGCACACAGCATTAACTAAACATCCTTGACAAGAGGCCATGTGATGTAAAAGGAAGAAGTTTGCCCATCTTAAGATGCTAACAAACAATAGCAGGCAAGATCAGTGCAGTGAATTGTTGACAATGCATTTGTGTCGGTAGCGCACCACTGCATTCACTGCTTGTAAACGCGACCTTCGAAACCATAGCTTTTAGTTCACTTCTTGACATGAAACCATTGCAAAAATGTTTGCATGCATGTGTGCATGTTACAATGGCAATGCTTTTATTGCATTGCAATTGCTTTGACAAAACATAGGAAGAGTAGGGAGGACTGGGAAGACAGTAAATGTCCTTTGCCCTTGAGCATATCCATCTCATTGATAAATGTCACATTCGAGATGTAAAGGGCAAGAGTAGGAGGAAATGAGGAGAGTGGAACAAGCGACAACCTCTTCGTCGCTTTAGTTGAACTCACATCTTTGTATGATCATTATTGTTGTCGCTGCTATTGCAGAATTTCTACTAAAAGCTTTCTTTAGACATTGATGCACCCAATCTCAAGGTCTTCTTCCGCCACTCTAAGCCTATCTAAATTGACTACCGATGAAAGAAGCGAGTGAAGAACTTCCAGGTACGAATAGATATGGGAGGACGTTCGCACATACACACCCATACATAACTTCTGGGCTACTGACTGTAGTCCTCCTTTCTAAACAATTCATCGTCAAGCTGTGCTGAGCTGTACAAAACTACAACAATGATATTATTTACACTGAATGCTCGACAAAATCATTAAAAAATAGTGTTCAAACCTATAGTCAAAATTTATTTTTTTAAGGGGATGAAGTAAGGCGAATAATTCCAAAAAAAGAAAAAATTCTTGAAATATTAATATGAAACTAGACATTTAAATTGTACAATGTTTTTTATAAAAATTAACTATTGGTTAAATTGTACTAATGATCAGCCAGGATATTTTTGTGCTTTTCATTATTTGTGCTTTGATGAATCATAACATATATTCTATAATATTTTGTGAATCATATCTGCTACATATTGCATATGAATTAAGTTCAGTTTGCTTGCTGATTTCGCTTTCTTCGTTTTATCATTTTTGAGATTAACAGTACCTATTTTACTCTTTAAAATGATGTGTTCTTGCCATTTTCAAATTATTATTTAATGTGCAGCAGACAACTAAATGATTTATAAAACAGAAACTAAGGAAAGCAAAAGCTTGAACTTGGCACATTTAATAAACGTACACTATATAACTGCACTCCATGCTATGAGACTAGTCAGTTAAACAAAGCAGGTTGTTTTAATAATTAAGCTTATTATCAACATGCATTCGTGCCAACAATGGTCAATGAGTCCGATCAAACAATGTATATTAGGAACGATCGATCTTATCCGTAATACATTTACATTTGAACAGCATTACAGGGACTACAAAATAGCAATAGACATAAAAGTTTTTTATTTCTTCCCCTTTTTCTGCCAAAAAATACAACAAATTGAGACCAGCTGCTTTGAAGACAGAAGAAGCGAAATAATTTATTCAACCACTAAACAATATTTAAAATATCATAATTGTGTGAAACAGTTTCAATAAAGAGATGTACCAATTGAAGAAAGAAAATTTTTTCATTCAGACTAGTTTTCTTCATTCTTTGTCCTTTTTGTTCAAAAATGTTGTCACAGTACAATGTTTGAGTATTACCAAAAAATTTGAATCAATGATAATATCTAAAAGATTTAAAAATCTTGAGAAAGAAGAATTCAAAAAGAACCATTTACATGCATAAAATGTAACTTTATATCAAATCGCTATTATATCATACAATTTAAATTTGGAAAGAGCAATTAAAATTGTATATGCGAATTGAAGCGTTAGATAAATGTTACTGTGTGACAATATTTATTGGTTAGTGCAACAGCAAGTGTTGACCATCGTCTTACCACTGGAATGACTTTATATGATGTCTCACTGTTGACAGCCATCCTAACTTTCATTTCAAGTTCCAGTATGTGTCGTATCATTCAAGCTCTACTTTCCTTTCCCTGCATTTGACATCGAATAACAGAATTCTCATAGTTGAATGGTCATCTTTTTTTTCGACTGTATAAAATCTCAAGATTAATACATTTCCTCATTTACCCATGCCTATTCTTTTATGACCATATACTTAGGTATATTACAACTTGTTGAACCTTCTCCAGAAATTATGTATTATCGCTTAGAAAAAGGATGAACGATCTTCTTATTAACTTTTTCATTTTTAACAAATTGAGGCAGCTACTTCGAAGCAAACGGAAATCACGTTGCTTTAAGCCATCACTCATTTTGTATACAAAACATCAATTAATAAGATTAATTTTGATTCTCGCATCCGCCCTCTCTCGTTCATTAACTTAAAATCATTAATTTATGTTGTAGATGAACAGCTGTGTGATCATGCAAATCGCATTGCTATATTCCAATTATGCATATGGTATAATATGTTATGAATGCTCATCCGTTGCCACTGACGACTGCCTGAAAGAAAGCGTTTCTTGCATTTATGGACTTTTCGGCTGCATGAAAACGACAATTTACTCCGGTGGCATTGATAAATGTTAGCTTTTTACCAGGACTTCAAAAATTTTACTATGTAGTGTGCAAAGCTGCCTAGATAAATATTGACTACAGTTGGCAACTACGAGAACCAGGAAAATCGGATAATCGGCATGTACCGAGGGTGTACCGTGTTACCCGTGGCAGGCTCTGATATATGTCAACAATTTGCATTATTTGGCTATCGCGTCGTCACCTGCTACTGTTTCAATGATTTTTGCAATGGTATTGTAGCTGTCCAAACGAGCTTACCAGTTATGTTTTTATTCATCGTTTGTTATTTCACAACTTTCGTCTTCTAACTATTTATACGTATAAAACCATATGGACTAAACTGAGGTTGTTAAAAACCAGATTTAAGTCGAATAGGATTCCCCCAGTTTTCAACCCTTCCGATTGCACTTCTTTGAATGAATGTCATTCCCCGGCTAGTGACTTCGAATATCTGGTGTTACATCCACGCTTCCTCCTTACAATAGCACTATTTCCCATACAAAGATCGAGATTAATAATTACAGCCTCAGTGAGAGAATAACAATCTCCGACTATTCTAACAAATGTACACTAGCCCAATCTTAACTTTTAGATCTAGAACAGCCAAATAGAACCTAAGCATTTCACCTATCCCGGTTTCCCTATCGAAAACAGAATCTGTTAGCACTCAAGTCAGATTTTTCTGCCTTGATTGGACATCCTTTAACAATAATACCTTAATTTTTGTTTCACACACTCAGTGTAATGAAATCACAGATTTATTAGGCAAATGATATATTGAAAATCTTCTTAATTTTTTGAATGAAGCACACTTGAATATTTAAACAATTAATACAATTTCCTTGTTCTATAAACAAACAGAAAAACCTGAAACTTGAAAAAAAAAACATGAATCAAAAAATGTCGGAAGCAAAAACATGATCATCAATGATTAATTCTGCTAAATTGTGCAATCCATATGATAACACATCATATCAAGCACGAAATACAATGTGAAGAAAAGAAATAATAATCGTATGTCCAATTCTGAAATTCAAAATGAAGATGGGTATGAATCTAATAATTTTTACCTATCCAAAAAATAGTGTAGCAACGGTAACATTTCTAAATTACAGTCATTAAAAACTACAAACAGATGAAAATACGCATGTATATTTACCTGATTCTGCATCTCGTAACTGTTGTAGGTAATTATAACGAAAAGTCATAGTGGAAAAAAAAGTTAAAGCACCATTATTCACAGTAATAAGCAACTTGTGGGAAAAAACAAAAAAGGATATGGTTAGGCATGAGCATAAATTCAGGCCAATGGATTTCTCCAGGCACCTCTGAACTTCAAGGTTCCCAAACTAACTTTCAGTTTTTGCAGTGTAAAAATGCTCATAGCTAACAAAACAAAAAACACACATATACTCCAAGAGCACTTTGATTCTAAACGATAAAAAATGATAAACATTAACAACGAAGAAATTTAGAATCTAGTAATTAAATTTTGGGGAAATCACTATCCTTGAGAGGTGATATCAGATTATTATGCTGCAGAGCTGCAACAGAAGCGCGCTGAAATTCACTAGCTCCTGGACGTAGAAAGAATATTTCACCATTTTCAGATAAAACAGCTGAAGCAATTCCCTCAACGTCAGAAGCCTGTAAATCTACTGCAGTAAACAGACAATTACGGGAGTCTTTCTAGCATGAAGATATTAGTACAAATTTTATTTATTACATGTTCTTTTTAATGTTATGACTCATTCATTATGTGCTCTAGGGACACAATGAATATTAATACGTATGCGGTGTATATGGCTGAGGTTTAGCAACTCGAATTTTAATAATTTTGACTAGTTTTAAATAATTATGCAATAGCTAACCAGAAAAAAATAATTTATCCTGCTTTGTAAAAGCAAAGCCAGTGGAGGAAAACTTTTAAACAAAAATACCTTTGTAAAATGAATTTTCAGGTACTGTTTAATAGTTAGTGCAGAAAACAAAAACAGTTCGCCTTGATTGGTGATGATAACAATGAATTTTTCATACAATTTTCGATCTGAAAAAGAATGACTGTAGAAAGCAGAACTTGAAAACTTAATATGCAGTTTGACAAATAAAAAAGGATAACTATACGTGAGAGTCGAAGTGAAAAATACTTTCTTTTGATACTATTATTTTCCACAAAACAGCTGATTTTATTCAACTTGTTCTGCTTTTTTTGTACCCCTCATCAACGCTCTAGTCAATACAAAAAAATCCTACTTAAAAGTGTAGGCAGTAAAAATGAAACATATTACTTCATAAATAGTATAAATATATAATGCAATGTTAATGGACAAAGCAGAATAGTGGAAGAAGTTTTAACCAAGGTCTACAATTTGAATTAAGAAAATTCACTCTAGCGGTTATAAAAATGCAAATACACAAAGAAACGGAAATAAGCAGTGGGATGCAATTTTCGTAAAAAAAATTAATTTAAAGTATTGGCTGATGTACTTGTAGCTGATCGTAATGTAAGAAGCTGTGCCTTTCTAATTCGTGAGCCCTCCACGCCAGTAAATTTATATCGAAATCTGGTTGGTTTCATTGTCGGAAGCGCAAACGTTTTGATTTGCTCTTCAGTATAAATGATTAGTCTTTCTGTACCTGTCAAACCCTGAAGTGTTTCATGTTAAAAAATAGAAATGAAAACGCAATATTCTAGAAAACTGTTAATATGTGAGAATTTCTTACCGCACCTTTATAAGTTGAGACCCATCAATTGTTGCACATGTAAAATCAATAACTGGAGCTCGATGTTGCAACTGCACTTCCTTCACAAGAACAGAAACATCTTCCGGTCTTAGTGCATCGTCCGATATTGCATAAGCGAATATCACCCCTAAACATATGGTATATTTATATTTCTATAATGTCTTCATGAAAATAACAAACGTTAGCTATTATTTTTGTCCATTACAAACAATTTGGAAAATTATTATGGAAAAATGCAAAACAATTTATTAAAAAAGTTATGAGTAAACATACCACCATTTGTTCCAATCCAAAGACTATCGGTGCGGGAAGCAGTGGAAAGAATGTTTGTACGAAAGAACCTAAGTACTCGGACCGCAGAAACAGCAGGATCACCAACTAAAATATATGTATCAACCGTTGACTAACGTCACATAAACACTGTATTAGTTCTGCGAGTAATGGAAAATAAGTGAAAAAAATACCGTTGAGAGGTGCCTCGGTTCGAGAAATAATTTGACGTTCAACAGGTCTCACTTCATCGATGTCATCATTAGTTGCTGAGCATGCTGGTTCAGTGGAATGAATTCCACTCTAAATTGGTGATATCTTAATAATTATGTCTGAATAAATATAAATGCAACACGGAAAATTCAAAATTTATTTGACGCTATGATAATGCTTCAGCTTAAACTTTGTAAAGCATTTTAAGAAAATACTTGTGGGACTTTTTTCTTGCGACGAAAAGACTGACGGATCGACTTTTTCATGCTTTTAAACCTTGATAATGTACTCGCGTCTGTTAACCCTGCAATGAATGCAGTATTTATATAAATTTGGTACTTGGTTAGATGGAATATATAATGCATTCTACTTCATGATGAATAACTCATTGCCATTTTTGATTTAACACATCAGTTTCGTGAGCATCTATACCAAAACAAACTGCAAGAGTAATAAGACAGGAAGAAAGTCAACAATCAATTTTTGCAAAGATGTCAATCTAATGCAAGTCTACATTCACAGCCTTATTAAAAGAATGAAACTAAATAAATACATTCCTACACCTCACATCCCACATCTTAACTGAAAAGTCAAAACTGAAGAAACATTAGCTCGGAAGACTATAAAGACTGCAATCTTAAGATTTATAGGAAATAATTTAAATAAATTTACTGGCGAGTAAGGAGACCTTTTAAAGTAATCAAACATCTGGATATAAGCGTTGCCTGACTTTTCAAATCACACATCACAAAGCCATACTCGCATCCAAATGCTAAAAGATTACGTGACCGAAGAGATGCTACTGCTGTTATTGCAACTGGTGGACGCAACTGAATAAGATAGCTAAAATAATGCCAAATACAGGTTAAAGTGAAGTGTAATTAGTGCTTTAAACTGATATTAATTATATAAGAGTTGTCATTTTTTGGCACCACATTATTTAACGTCATCAACAAACTTTAATGTGTGCCCAAACTTTATGTGTCCATAGCATATTACAAGTAAATCAGCAAACAGCATACTCAAACCAACTTTAATAACAAACCTTCGGTTCTTATCAGTTTTAAAGGGCTGATATCCAACTGCATATGCCAGTGGAGCTCGTCGAGGAGGCAAAGCTTGTTGGTTGATGTTCGTTGGCAACTTCGACTTTGCTGCAACCTCATATTCTGTTCGCATTACGGTCAATGCTGCCTAAATGGTTTTATAGATTTGCATCGGAAACGAGCGGATACAACAATCGTTCAAATATGATTGAAATTTACTTATAAATCTTACCGATGATTCATCATCCAAATCATATACGATAACATGACCGGCACGACCACCTATTACTAACTGCCCGCTGCTTACATCGAAATACACTTTCTGTATGGCTAAACGTGGATCATCACAAAACGGATCGTATGTTCCAACCTTAAAGTTAAATATGGCTGCACGAGTACACATCACATATCAGGTGATCCTAACTGTAACACAAAAAAACCTTGCGAAAAGGAGGCCAATCAGTAATTTCATTAGAGTCATCATCGGACGCTCCGTTATTGGAAGCTTCAACTGAACTGCCTGAAAATTATTTGCTTTATTTTTGAAAACCAGCTCTAACATACTCGCATTAAAAAAGAACTTCTTTGATGAATTATAATAACATCAACTTATAGTAAAATGCATCTATATTTGAAAAATTATTGCTGTAATTATATGTTTGCAATGACAATCCCTTGATTTATTAAAGACAAAAAAAAAACAACTAACTTTCAGATTCACATTCTGTTCTATCAGTATCACTGTCTATTGAAAAAGAGCCTTCAAATTCTTTTGCTGTATTGATTTTCAATAAATAACGCAAACTGACAGAACCAGTTGACCAGAATTTCACAGTACCATCTTCGTGCCTTCAAAAAATATAACATTTTAATCAAATCTCTTCTGGAAATTTTAAACATGGATAATATTAAAATATGAGAAACTACGATCAGTAAATGTTGTAGCTAAATAAAAGAAATTCATTCTAAATATTCACTTGAGATTTAATGAAAAAGAATGTCTTCAGTATTTATCATAGAAAACTTGCCCTGTAATTAAAAGTTGTCGTTTTTCCGCGTTCGTAGCAGCACAAGGAGCAGGTGTCTGAGCATCGCCGCCAGCATGAACAGGCCACTTACACATGGATGACAATTTATTTTGGGCTTCGCTGGCCTTAATCAGTCCCTATAACATATGCTTAAATATTTTCTGAAGTGGTTCCGGTGGTTATAAACCGATATATATATATATATAAATACATATATAGGAAAAGAAGAAAAACTGATAGATTTACCTTCCAAACATGCTCTTCAATATTGGAATAGTGCATAACACATGTAATCTGAGATGAATGAATCGGCTGCAAATATGGCAAATTAAGAAGCGGCCAGCTCCCATCGGTCAAATCGATACACACGAGTTCCTGTTCACAAAGTACCATCAATGCCAAGCAATTTTTGTAATCCGCATCTGCAAGTAATAAATAGCATCATTATTGTTAGACTTATTATTACTATTATTCACTATCAATATTTTTATAATCATAGGTTAATAGCAGAAAAATAAAGGAGCTGTCCATCATTCAAGCGTGAAAAACTAGGATCTACCCTTTTTTGCAAACCATGATTCAGAGTGTCAATGAAATCGTAGAATGATCCCCTCAAGGACCATAAAATGCTGCAAATGATTATGTCCGAAAGCTGATAAAAGAGTGTATAAAAATTATAACCCACCGTTAAGCATTTGAATAACCTAAACCACATGATTAAGACGCTGACACCTATCTTGCTTCAGAAAATCATATTATTGGTAAACATTCGCCAAGAAACAAACGATAGTGAGGATAATAGACTAACGTATTTTGTTTGGCCAGTAAATTTGGAAGTCTGGATCTTAAATATCAAGAAAACATATTACCTTTCTGGTTTTGCAGTGAAGGTACAACAACAAAGTCAACAACAGCACTGCCAAAGTCGAATACTACCATTTTACCTTCTCTCATTGCTGTTAACGTGTAGCGATCACCATAGGAAGCACGCGGCATTCCGCCAGTGTATAATTTAATCGCTGACGGGTGGCTAAATTGCAACACATATTCGACAGGATTACTACGAACAATGCTATCTGGTACATATTCGTATTTAAACCTTGATCGCAAAGCAATGCAATGCAAAAAAAAAAACAGCAACAGTCAATACTTTGCAAAAAAGGCAAAAAGCTAAACTGAAAGGCTTCTACTTGTTAATAAAATACTATTTAATTCATAAAAAACAGCCCTAGATGTTTTTGTAAGAACTAAGAGAACGACACCTGGATGCACATATCCATCGTACTTTGTTAATAGAAGTACATGGAAACGGACCGAATGGTATGAAGGATGCTTCCACAGGTTCCATACATTGAATCCTCCATGTGCCCAACGAACCATCACTGTGAGAACAAATAAAATATTCCCCATCAACATGCCATGCTAAACTCTGGAAGAGAATAAATTAAGAGTGCGAACAACGAGACTCAAACTAATAACAAGCTTATCAAACGAATCTCTAAAGACCAGTGACAAAACAGTTAACAAAAAAAAACATTCTTTTAACAAACCATTATGCCTGTTTCTCAATCAAAACGTTGATGAAGCAGTATCAAGGTGAGCTTGAAATAAATTTGCACAAAGCAATCTTGCCACTTTAATATTATGTAAAACAGTAAGCAGATGCACACTGCACAGACAATTAATTACTAGCTGAATAATTAGTTGGAATTGACAAGCGATTTAAATTCAGAGGCAAGACAAGAAATTATTTCCCGTATGGACTTTATCAGAGCATCGTTCGACTGCATGTTTAAAGCTCAAAACAAAACCAAAAAGTAATGAGAATAAATGGCGTACAGTAATTGCTTGCTGGACAGTCCAATGGTGCAGCACCTCGCTGTTCAGCAAATTGTAATGAACAATAATATGGTTATTGAATGCAATAAGGACTTGAGTTGCATCAGTCGGATTCACCATAATTTGATTAGCGGATCTTCCAATGTCTTTTGAAGCGTTGATGCTGAATGCATGATAATTAAAAAAGATATGATTAAGGATATCGCATTTTACTAATCTTAAAATTTGATTTTCAAAGCTAAGAAAACAGTTGTTCGAAACTACAACTATCAACCTTTTCACAATTGTCTCCTCAAAAAGCAATACTTCCGAGAATTCGAGCGAAGCAGCGCACAATCCAAATATATTGCCCGTGATAGTACCAATGAAGAGACGAGCATTCGCTGGGTCTTGCACATTTTGCATTTCACAGCATGTTATTCGTTTCATCCTAAAATCACAATGAGAATGAGCCGAAAATCCAAACATAAAACTGTCGAAAATTTCTCAAAATACTTATCTTTGATTGACACATCTGGCTATTAGCAAGATGTGCCAATCAAAAATAAGTATTTCGGTTCTTAATACTGTGTTTAAAGCCGATTTATTGTCCAAGAAAATTTTCTTCAAATCTAAATGAAAAGAGCCTATGTTCACAGGTAATAGTAATTACCTGTCTTCAGTAGTAGCAGTGGTACGCTCAATTATGTCACCAGCAACCTGAAATTTATGAAAAGATTGATCCGAGCAAAGAACAATAAGAGTGCCCAGTCCTGCAGCAAAGTACATATGAGCAATGGAGATATTTCGAGGTGTCGTTGAACTCCATTCCACGTTTTCTGCTCCGAAACTGTAATTATGTTATTTTATTACAATAAAACACGTATTACACAGCATGAAACTATCAACTTAATTTCTAATTAATATACAATGCATATTAGTTGTAGAACACATCACATCTGTTGAGTATGAAATACGAAATTTTATTCATTGCGATAGCTCCTTCCTCAAAGGCTTATTACTTGATCTTAAATTTTTTTTTCTATGCCTTGTAGGCAAGGTTATGATTGCGAATAACTTGATATCTAAAATCCTAAATAACGAATGTCTGTATAACAAAATAATTTAAACCATTGGTTCAGGAGTTTAGTGTATAGAATAATTTATGAGATCGTTAAATTATCCAAAAATCCATTAACGAAGATGAGAAAGCCTGCAGAATTCCGAGAACTGCTTTACTTCTTGAAAAAGCATGCAAAAAGGATAAAGGATTTACGTTCATTAAAGCGCATATGCAACATTGTTCGACAAAAAAGACCTGATCACTAGCAGATTAAGAAAGACTGCTACCTCAAGATAGTTATGAATCTAATCAGTTTTGAAAACAACAAATAACAACAAAGCTGCAGGAAGCAACTGCAATTATCGACTAATAACTTCACTTCGCCAGACATACAAATGATTTATATGTGTGATTATGGGCAGGATAGGAAAGAAAAGTGAAGAAGATTTGAGAGATGCTCAATTGGTTAAATTATCCATCTCATTAGCTACTATCAGAATTACAAAATGCCCTGAATATTTCTATCAAACTTCCACCAATATTACTAAGTATAACAAAGATGAGCATTAAATTAAAGCATAATCTCATGTGATGCAGAAGCAGCCTGTCAACATGAGCTGCGTGTTAATACGACATTTACTTACGGTATATTTGCCCACTTGAATTAATAAAGAAGCAAATTTAAAATGTTATCAGAATACAAATCAACGAAAATGACTCACAATACTTACAATCGTTGAAAATCATCCAACAAACTCTCCCTATTGCCGTTCTTTCTCACTCATAACTGTATATTATGAGTGAGAAAAAATAGTGAGAAATTATGAGTGAGAAAAAAAAATTATGAGTGAGCAACAGGGAGAGCTTGTCTTCAAATCAAAGTTCTAAAAAAGAAGCATGTCAAAAATATTTGAATTACTTCAAGGACTATGACCACATGAAATAGACCACGTGAAACAACTGAAATATTTCGACAAAGTATTGATATTTAAAACTGGAGCTAAATGAAAAGGAAAAAGCAACGGGAATGACCAAAATGTTTGAAATAAAAGCCCAACAACATGATATATATCAAAACATAGGATATACCGAAGAACTTCAAATGTCACCACATTAAATGATCTACTTTACGCAGGTAACGGCCTAACGACCTTATTACTTATTACAACAATTTATGTTTCCAATAGAGGATCAACAGCATACATGGTGTATGATATTAGGAATGAGTCAACAAGAGACAGTCGTTGGTAAGTCTCAACGAAATATTGTATTATATGGAGAGATTTTGCAATGTGCGGATGAAGCAGAGCCTAATTCCATTGCTTTTCACAAAGAGAGTGAGCTTGTTCAACACATGCCATCACGGGTATCCAGGTATCAAAATCCAATGCGTTTTTTATCATATGGGCGTGAAAAGCCAATTACAAGTTCAAGTGGAGAGTGTCATACACTTAGTCTTTTCTTGTGCTTTTTTGTCTTTGATGGGTGGTAGACACTGCCTGACTTTTATGTGCGTTTCCAGCGAACAGTTTCCATGAATGAATCAATGATTTCTTAGCTTAGAATTCATTGAAAATTTTTGTTTTTTCGCAATACAATCGATGAAGATAAGCTCAAACTTACATTCGAACTTGTCCATCACTGGTACCTACCGCCATAAGACCCAGTATGTAATCGTATGCCAATGATGATACCAACTGTGGGAATCCATGTCGCAAACTCTGCAAGTTTGGTCCCTTTTCCTTTCAAAATGTAGTAAAAATCCTCTATGATATGTAGTGAGTAATGTACACAAAATACTATTCATCTCTTTTTCTATCAGATCAATAATACTCACTTATTGAAAAATTATCATCACGAATCTAAATCAAAATATCGACTGGAAATAAATCTTTTTAAAAAAAAGCAAAAAACATTGGTTCTACTTGTTCTGGATTTCAGTTCAAATAAACGAATAGTTTTTGAAACTTACTGAATTAAAAGAATAAAGAGAAAATCACATAAGGAGTAAAAGTTTTTAAAAAGGATAAAACAGGCTAAATTCAAACTTGTAATAAAAAGGCGGTATTCTATAACAGGCAATTAACAAAAAGAAATGAGTAACTAATGAGACATCACTAACAGGAGTATACTCAAAAAAGTCGTGGACATCGGTGTTCCTGAAATCCCCGGCAGGATGTATATGACTCCGAAGAAAACGCAACATCGGTTATCGCATTTGAACTGTTACAATTGCTTTCAAATTTTGCGGTAAATCCGAAACAACGCAGAATTAACTAGTCTTGGCGCAGCATATTTCCTGAATAAATAGATTACTTATCACATAATGTCATTTGCTTCTGTGCAGGCAAGCTGAAATAAATCGAGTTGCGTTCAACCACTCCGCTTAAGTTAATGAGCTAAAAACATTCATATTCTTAAAAATAAAAAATTGGAGAAAAACTGTTAAAAAATAGTCGTTAAATCAATCAAATGAACTAAAGTTAGCTTTTTGACATATGAAGCTTCTGAAGCTAAGTTATATGGATAACACTATGTGGAAGGGAAGTGTAGTGGAAAAATATTAGTTTATAAGTCGCTATAGATATTAAAAAACTTTTCATAGAACTAAAATGTGAAACACGATGCAGTAAAAGTGAACTGAATCTCAACTTTTATATAATCACATGAATTCCTCCGAAAGTTTCACTTCTGGAGAGCGGACAATGTATTGTGTTCTTTATTATAATGCTTAGTGAATTTACTTGTTCATAGAAAATGGCGAATCCAATTACTTGAATCTGCGCATACCATAAATATAATAGGACGTAAATCTCTATAATATTATTTGTAAAGTCACTTTTGAATATTAGTAATTCTACCAAGAAGAAAAATATTTGAAAAATGAATCTAAAATCAAAAAAGTACAAATTTACAGCAAAGATTACTCGTCTACCACATATATAAGCACAAAACAAAATGTTGATTTTAAATCATGCTGGGATTTTGGACTAAAAATTTTTTTTGCCGTTTTCAGCATATTTTTGAAACTGGAGTTGTTTCAGTAGCTAAAGAATAATTTCGAATAAGGACTCAAAAAAGTTCAGAGAAAATTTCTCAACTCTCTGTGATATGCACAGCAGAATTAAAAACGATAGGATGATGAAATAGAATAACTTTTTTTTTCATTGCCAAGTCCATTCCACCAACCGGTTTTTGCAGGTGGCAATGTCATCTACGGATGCTGTTTTACATAGTGCCCAAAACATCGATTATGCCACTCGTCAACTATTCAGTTTAATGTACGGTACGGTAGTTAGGACTGCTTCGCCTTAGCTGACCAGATGTATCAATGCCTTTTCTCCCTCCTGAACCTTCGAAAAATATGTTATGGATCAACATATGGCGAAATCTAGTAAAATGACGGCCTCTCCACTTCTATGAAAATAAGAAAATGGAATGAAGTGTGCGGAGGAAACATAATCTCATAATTTAAATACTTTGCTTCTTATGAAAGTTATATTACGATTTAACAGTATTCTGACGTCATGTGAGATTTATGCAAATAATTATATATATATATATGGAAGAAAGAAAGCTTACAGTAATATTTAAAACAAGATGAACCTTCTATAGTCTGATTATCCTACTTTCAATACACTTAGTGACTACTGAGTTTAGTCAGATAGAATGGTATAAGATAATTTCCATGTCAAATTCAAGAGAAACTAGTAAATTATAACAATTTTAAGTTCCACTTTTTTCCAAAAATGAACTACCGTAGCTTAGCATTTCTTATTACTTCCTGTTTTTAAAGGGAAAATAAGAAAGATGATAAATTGAAAGAGCGAAAATGGTTAATTCAAATCTTGTGATTGAATAAGAATGGATAAGGCACAAAAAATAAAAAAAAAAATTGAATGAGAAAGATCAACTCTATTGACGTTGGTCAATAGAGAGTTACCAATTAGGAGATAAATGTATTCATTTAGCTGGTCGAAGTCCTCACCACAGTCTTCCATGAATTCACAGCTGAGATTCAAGAGCCTATTTTTCAAGAGATTATTTTCCGGCAAGTTTCATATAAAAAACGAAAAGTTCCATTCTAAGTTGCATATTAAATTTTGAGCAGCAACAGTAATGGCAGGATTTCATTTAAAACATAGCATCCAAATGAATAGAGAAGTGGATTCAGTTAGAGAATCAGTACATTTACAAGACGAAATATAACAGACAAAAAGAAAAACCAGTAGGTCCGTTACTGGCTTGTGATATCCACGAAATCAGTAATAGAGGATATAATATCGAATTCTCTAAAACAATATTCACAATTCTATCTTATCGAAAGTCATAATAACAGTGAAACGGCATCATGAAGAAAACTCTGTGCAAAAAATTGTCAGAATATATCTGCACTGGAAATCAAATCAAACATAAGCATCCAAGAAGTAATTTAGATATTTCAGCAAGAGTGTACCAGTCAGATAGCCATGTTAAAAAGAACAGGGGGAGTAATTACCACTCTTCCTTATACGGTAGATAATCACTAAGTCACTTTATTAGCACGAGAAGTCATCACGAGCAAACAAAACAAGAGCTATTACACAAAGAGCACCAGCGTCACATCTACAAGACGCAAGCGCAAACGACCTTCCCCGCAAGTGCAACAGTGGAACAGTCATCGGCCGACCGCTAAATACCGGAACGGCCTAACTGGACCCGAAATAGGCTTACGAGGAAGATGGTTTCTATGGTTCCGGATTCATTTTCCTCTGTCGAGATTACTGGGAGAGACTTAGATTTCAAACATTTCAGTTATCGTTTGTAAATGTATGCACAATGATATTGTCAAAAATCACAGAATTTCAAGAATATATGGTGATGTCCTGAGTAACTAGAAGACTCATTATATCTGACTTACCTCTATCATAATAATTTATTCCGTGAAGTAATGTAAAGGCCCCATTGGATTCACTAAACAAATTTCGGTATGGCGATTTTCATTGCTAATAGGACAAAGTGACATAGAATGACTAGGTCTTGTTCAGACATTAAGATTGAGAGAAGAGAGGTGTTGAGTTGGGTCTCAACGTGCAATCATTAAGTCTGTATTATACCTGATTCGGTTTTTGTCCTGATAAGTGAGAAAAGAGAGAGACAGTGAACGCCATCAAATTCAGTTAGTAACAAACTTTGAAGCATTGTTTTCTATATTTCTCTTTCTAGCTATAATTTGACTCGTTAGGGAGTTAGTTCGAGATGATCGATTAAATATATGTACACAAATTGCAGTCATTCTTTGTTAATGGCTAATATATTTGTATCCAACTTCTTAGTCTCAAGTGTATCCATTATGCTTCATATTACCGTTAACCATTCTTGTCTTTCACCAGTGTAGGATGATTTCAAATATTGCATTAGCATTAGGACCATTTGATCTGTTCAATTATTCACCGTTGTAATTATAAATGCGAAAATATTCTAGAGTCAGTGGTCATGCAGTTGCAGGCGGAGTAAACTCGACTACTTCATTGTGGGTTTTTTGGTGACTTTAACTATTTAAAGTACATTTGGCTTGTTTATATATGTTAGAAATGTTGCCACTATTATTCTATTTGAAGTAAATGACCTGCACACAAACGACTGCTCTTCTCAAGTGCTGAAGATTCTAGAAGTATAATTTCATTAGTTCTTCCCGGTTACTTCCACTTCCTAATCATTTATGTCTAAGATGGTAGGGATCGTGATTTCTTAGCGATTCATTTCCGTGTTTTGTCTTGGACAAACTTCGTCATCGTATCCTTGACATATCATTTATGCGATAATAATATCGCTATTGTTGCACCATGTATCTATGTTTTTACTTCCTAATGTCCAAGCAGTATGACATTCATTTCTGAGTGATCGTAAGCCCAAGATGAAAACTTCTTTTGAGCCACGGACTTTATTTCCCAAAAATAGATTTTCCGGTTATTCTAGAGTTCAACAAATTCGAAATCGGTAACAAAATTTTCTAAAATAAGAGCATTTAGTAAATCAGTTCATGATATTTCTATATCAAAATGTCCAGAGTTATATGCTCCTGCGCTATCGACGAACCAAGAAACGAAAAATGTGAACATTATTCCACATGTTATGCCTGCAATAAATGTACTATTCAATACAATAATCTTAGCATTCTTGCTTCTTGTATTCTAATAGTTTATAAATACAACAGAGGGAATATGAAGTATTCATTTAAAACTTTCTGATCTGGGTGTTTATTGTAAGAAAAAATGTTACAATACTTTTCACTAAAACTATACGGTATGCTATTATATCGTGTCTTTTATTCATGGTTCAACCATGCATTTGACGAAGCCGGTTATCGGTCTTCCAAAACACATCTGCGATGCGAACATACATCCCACATCTGATAGTTTACAGTCCCTAGTTTAACACAGTTCATAATTTGTTTCCATCATATAAATTCAGAAATCAGTATATTAGAGAAATAAAAATAACAGACCAAAAATCAGGAAGAACGCTGCTATCATGCCTGCAACTGTTGACTTGGATGGTTCCACTATCCTAAATGAAATAATTCAGGGCTCCGCATTTCCTTGTTAAAATAGTTCATTTCTGAAAACGGTTAGTACTGTAAACAAGATATATAGTGCATACCAAGCACTATTGCTAATAGAATGAAAGATGAAATTATGCTCACCTTGGGACATACATCATTATTACGGAGCTAAAGTATCCACTTGTAATGGACATGATGACTGCAAAAATGATATAAATCCATACGTTATAGAACCACACATCCCAAGTTCGGTATTCAGGACGAAAATAACAGAATATCATCAGCGGAATAAGCGCAATGCGTGCAATTACCGGGACAACCACCCATTTTGGTGATGGCTAAAGTTTTAGTCATGAATTTAATTCTATCTTCGAGGAGAGAATTTCAACCAAATAACTCGGAATTTCAAAGTCATTTTATAAATAACATACCCACTGCACAAAATTAGCCAGAAATGATCCAGCGGCGGCAAAGAAATTGAACAGCAGATATGCCATGATCGGAGTGAACAGCTTCTCTACAAATTTGCTAATTAAATGTCAGAAGCATCAGATTCAATTCTTCAAACTTTATGTTTTTTGCGGTCGATATGGAACTTTTCGGATATGTCCGAAAGCGAGACTGAAAACTGGTTAGGCTGTTCAATGACTAATCGAGCCAAGAAAAAGATTCATGAGTTTAATCCAATGATCGAAATGCAGCATCAAGCGTGGCGGAACGCTCAATTCGCTTTTTACTGTCATCAAATATGAATTTTCTCTTATGTGGACTTATTTTTAGTTAGGTGAGTCATATACTTCTCAAGTTTAAATACGCATGAATTTTTCTAGCTCTTCATTAAATTTTCGCATGAGGTGATTAAAGCTGTTTATTACTGCCTTATTATTATTAATTTAACTCGCGTCAATGTTATGATTCTGTTTGATTCCATTAGCGCGAATGTAGGAAGGTACCTGGTATGAAAAAGTCATATTTTCCGCTTTTGTTATAATATTTGATGTCAGCCATTACTACGGGAAACAATGTCAATGTAACGAAAAACACACACCAGACATTGAAACACTGAATCCAAATCTAAAAATAACACACTGTACAAATTTAGTCTCGATCAAGGAAACAAGTTTTTGATTCAAGAGAATGAATCTGTAAGCTACTAAAAAACTGCTCGAGAAAAAACTAAAGAATTCCAAAAATAATTTACGCTTAGTTATGGTCTTTCATTTTCGGTTAGCAAAACGCTGATTAATTTCAATAAGAACTGCGATCTCATCCAGCCGATTGATGTACAGGACTTTAGAATTAATTTGAGTAAAAGACAACCTTGTGGTTGATATCTCACACAGGTTTTAAGAATGATATCTTTGATAATTACTCAGTCTCAAGGGAAAAAAATTATGCCCAAAATTCACATAACGAATGCAGTAGTTTCGAAAATCGATACCATCAGGTATGTTCATAGTTACTTTATTTTTTTATAAATTTAGATTAATGAATGCAAAAGCGAGAAGCCAACCTTTTTAAAAACTTGGAAGTATAACTTCAGTTTTTCCTTCAAACCTGTTTTTGATACGACTCTATTCATCTCAGTCCCATCCATGATTATTCCATCTATAGTACTGATTCTTTGTAAGTGCTGGCCCTCTTCATTTACGTTCTTATCAGTATGTTTTCTTGCTTTTTTCATATAATATTTGTAAAATTCCTAAAATTATGCTTTATAATAATGAAATATTTTATACTGGTTATTTTCAACCTTTAACCGCACTGAAAATATGAGTATGACTAAAAAAAATGAAGATATGGCAAATTTTCAAGCGTACAAGTTCTTGTAGTATGAATATTGATCCAAAACAAGCAGAAATTGTCAGCAAAGATATCAAGAAATAGAAAAACGCCGCCATTGATACATCTTTTGCAGCTGAAACACATCGACTATCATTACAAAGCATTACAAAGCATAGTTTGTTGCGTTACTGTTTTATAATGACAACAACACTAGTGATAGTTTATTAATAAAACCCAAATGTTTAAATTTCTTGTGAATTATTCATTACTCAAAATGGGCAGATTATCAGTTCCGAGCAACTCACATCATTTAAAATCTGCCGGAAACGAATAAACAAGATTTATTCTATGAGAGTGTAGATGTTTCATGTGCTCCGGTATTTGTAAATGCACATTTATATCTCCAAATATCCAAATTTTTTAATTTTTGGCTTTCATTTTTTGTTGCTGGAGGATACCACTTGTTGACAAGCGAGGGTAATATGCTGAGTTTGCACAGGTTTCGAAATATGACAGTAACCACTCTATTTCTATACTGCAATTTGAATTTGCGATGGACATCCACCTTTGAACTGATAATGAAGGTGGCTTGAATTCAACTCAAAGAGATCAATAAATTGGCATAAGTTCGAAACTGATCACTTCTCTTATTAATATTCCTCAAACCATAGAAGAATCTAAGCATAAAATGTAACTCACCAACCAGTGTTATGATACTTACGACGGATACAAATGTACCACATATATTATTGCCCAGTATCAGTGCGTTGGTATATTGAGGCGGAAAGTTTGCAGTTAAACCATAGAGTGAACTTTGATAAACGCCATTAGCTGCATTTAATAATACCACTGTTGCCATCGTGATGAAGAAAAATGCACTAATCACTAAAAGAATGAAATAATAAAGAAGATTAAAGATCACTCCACTAAGCGAAAAAAATTACAAAAATTTAAAATTACCATCCGGGAACCAAATATTGGTTAAAGAAATGAAGACTTACTGTGAGAAGTGTTAATAAAGGTGAATATGAGTGTTATCAAAATGATAATTGCCAGAACAAAAAGAGAAAAGCCAATGCGTCGTCTAAGACCACCTCTGTAAATTGTTGAAAACAAATTTTTTACTGAAAAAACTTGAAAGACTCGATGTAGCTTAAATGTCATTATCAGATGAGTCAAATTAGACAATTTTAATGCATTATCATTCCAGTTTGTCCCGTTTTATCAATAGCACTTTAACAAGTTATCATTAGCGAAAACAAAAACCATCCGGTCGGCAGTACAGTGCATATGTGAAAAGCCACCGATCAAATTATCTGATTCAATGCATTCTCTAGTCTGACTGTATGTCTCAAAGCATCTATCAATTATTTATCATTTTTATCCGTCTCTAAAAGTTCACTTTTTGTAGTCCTTTTGCAGCATGTATAGTATAAACAGAAGTATGAAATGAATGTTCTGAAATTACAAACTTGATCTGGACGAATAAATTGATCAGATTAAGTAGCAAAGTCGGTATCTGCGAAGCAAGGCCAAGATAAGCCAAAAAATGAAGAGCATAATCAGTCTTATGCATCATACCATCGGCACTCCTTTCCGCGAATTTGTAGTCCACATAATACTGTAAAGTTAATAACTTCAAAGTTATCATTATAATGTTGAAAAAAGAAAACTGAAGAGTTATGACTTTCAGCCTGTGAATCTCTTTTGTATAATGATAGCCAAATAAGCTTAATACAAACTAAGTAAATGTAAAGCCAGCAGCTCAGATATCAGTGACATAATTCAAAATGGATTTTTTTAGAATATTTTACTCTTTTTAAAAATTTTTTTGAATATGCTGGTAACAGGAACAAAGATTCTACGGGTTCTGAACTACAAGGTGTCAGGATATCTTTCAGTCCAAATGATGTAATATAAAGATTTTGAGGTTTTCGAAGCAAACATCCCATCCCGTTCAAGTGATTTAGAATCTATAATATCTATACAATGTGAACCGTGCAACATATTTGTGTTGCACGG